TTTATCGGTGTTTTATTTCCTGATGTTCTTATGTGTCCTACGTGTTTCAGTCGCCAATTCTGAATTATAACTAACATTAAAAACATGTTTAAGGAGGAGAGAGAGCAAATAAATCTGTTTAACATCTGATCTTTGGGTTTTTGTTCAGTAATCAGTGTGACCTGTGTATAAACACATAAAAGAGATAACGTTGGTGTTTCCGTCATGTAGTAACTGCTGGCTTTAACTGTACAAAGGTTGTTCGACACTATGAAACACATACAGACTTCATGATGTTCGGCTAATATTTTTATTGTGAATATTAATCATGCTGACCTCGCTCTGTACACCATGCAGCGAGGTCAGCATATCCACGATATCCTCAGCTCCATGAGTTAACACAAAGTTTCCCAGCTGACTATCTAACTTCCAACTATTCCAGAGACGTGAAAATATACAGCATAAAGAAAAGTGTAAGAGACCCAGCAGCAGATTAGAATAATAGTTATACATTTAATAAATCACCAAATGAATCCAAGAAACGAGCAAACCTGTTCCGACAATCTGAGTTTGTATTCCCTCAGCTGCAGACTCGCTGCTGTTTAAATGTTTGAAAAGGAAGATTAGATATAAACAACGTCAAACATAGACTCAGTCTGCCTTCACATTTGATATGAGGCCAGCACGTATAGTGGCTGTGTCCTGTTTTAAGATCATACATGTAAAATTGTTGTCTGACCTCCGTCGATCCAGCCGCTCAGAGTCCGTGGTTACCATGGTTACTGCATAATCAGCTATAATGTTAACAGCTGGCACTGAGGAAACCTACAGGCAGCATGGGTGTTTATGTTTTTCATTGCAAAAGAACCGTCTGAATGGTTAACTGAAGTTAACTTGGATAAATTATAGTTAAGGGGTATCACAGATAACGCCCACGTGAGCTGTGTGACTGTTCACCACTGAAATCAGCAGGCTATTACTGAAATACATGTGCTATATCATAAACTATGATATAAATAGGGAGGTCCTATTAACATGTTTAGTTTTAAAGGACACCTTCCTGCCTTTAGTCTCCTTCATGAGCAGTATTAGTTTTGTTCTAACCTCCAGAAGTCTGCATGATGTGTTTCATAGTTTGTAACAAGCCTTTGACAGGTAAACATAACATGACCGAAAAGCAAAAAAAAAAAAAAAAAAAAAAAAAAAGAGAGAGAGTGTTGACATAAGAGAAAATGCTCTCAATTATGGAGACAGGCAAATGGTTCATTTATGTTTGACGTGTGTTTACTCCTCCCTAATTATCGTCGGTGAAGTTTGCCATGCACGTCAGATTTTCCTGCGCATTTTTATACCTCTGCCAACAGAGAGAGAAAAAAAATCACATTCTAACAGACAGCTGGTGCTTAGAATACAGTTGAATAACTATTAAAAAACAGATGATATTTAGCTGATAGTTCAGTCTAACACATGTGCCACTGAACCATTAAACGTCTGTGAAACTATGCAGTTATGAAACGTAACTTTAACCTCAGCCAAACCGATTTGCTCAGTTGTAAATAAAACAGTGAAGTAAACGTGACCCGACAGACAGAACCTGAGTGAATAAAGTCCAGCGTTTAACCACTGAGAGCTAAAACTCAGCTGAGGTTTGAAAGCTGTGTGCCGGTGATTGGACATCAGCCGCTGATAAAGCTGTTCGCCTATAAAGTGCTCTGTAAGGAAACAAGCTCCAGCATCTCTGCACTCGGGGAAAACACTATATTTACTTATCTTGTGCAGAAAAATGCACTGACATTGCTTTATATCGAGTACCGGCTGCCCAGTTAAACTGTGACTATCACCAGGTAACTAGGCGTGTTTCTTGAATTAGCAGCAGGTGTTAAACAGCTGACAGATGAGGAGGAGGATGCATGCAGGTAAACTGAGGGTCTGTTGAGCTGATCGCTGGTTTCGTGAGAAAAATGTCAGCTCGTTCTTTATGTTGCAGAAGCACAGAGACACAAGACCAGGCGGAAAGAGACGATCGTTCGGTGAAAATGAGAATCTGCGAATGCAACATGTGGAACACGGAGAGTGGAATATGTAAACAAACCGGTTAACGTACCCCCTGGGTGCACTCTGCATGCTAACTGTTAGCAGAGCTAGTGAAATCTCTGAAAACATCTGAGCACTTTTGCAAACATGTTCTATGTTGACAACCTGACCAGACATACGGCGCGACATTCGCGGCTAAAACACTGTTAAAAGTGTAGCTGGTGACAGAAAAACGGGGTATTTTAAAACTACACCACCACCATTGCTGCCTGTGATTTGATCTGCATTCTGGGATACCTGGCTGCCCCAAGTCTACACAAGCAATCGATTATCTAGGATCGACCTGTTTTGACTTACTTTGCACGGCAACCAATCAAATGTTAGAGAAGCTGCATGGGCAGCGTTAACCCCGCCCCCTGAGTTTGATGGGTGAGGCTGACAGATAAAATTATTTCATGATGAGAGCCAGGCGTCAGGACTGCCAAAATGAAATAAATAAATATATCATTAAATAATTAATTAAATGTGTCAATAATTAATTAAATGTGTCAATAATTAATTAAAATGTGAAATACATAAATAATTAATTAAATGTGTCAATAATTAATTAATTACATGTGGCATAACTATTTAATTAATTAATTAATTCCAATTTTAATTAATTATTGCCACATTTAATTAATTATTTAATGGTGTATTTAATTAATTCATTATGGCAGTCCTGGCACTCCATATTCCTTCGGGCCCACCGCTGTGCATGCAAAAGCGGGGAGACAAAAAAGGATTTGTTTTCCCTGTAGCGCCTTCACTGTCTGCGACAATATATATATATATTTACATCTTTAAATTGTTCTGATTCAGTCATTTTACTTTTATGTTCTTGTTCTAAACTGAACTGCAGATAAACCAAAGGCTGAACTGAGAGCTGATAGGACAGCTGTTCCAGTAGGGGGCAGTGTGACCCTGACCTGCTCTGTGAGCCCATCATCATCATCTTTTGGATGGAAATACTACTGGTACACAGATGGCAAATCTTATCAACCTGTGACAAATGGACAAATCAGTGTCTCAGAGGGAGGACGCTACAGCTGCAGAGGAGGAAGAGGAGAACCAGTTTACTACACAGAGTTGAGTGAGTCAGTTTGGATTGACACAACTGGTGAGTGTAAATGTAACTTCCTACAAAACACTACATCTCATGGTAACTGAACCTTTTGTCATTCATGTGTTTTTATTGTACTTTCTTGAACAGTAACAGTCTCAATCAGGCCTGTTGTGACTCTGCATCCAAACTGGTCTGAGATATACAGAGGAGAGACGATCACTGTCAGATGTGAGATCCATGGAGGAGACACTGAGTGGGATTATGAGTGGGAAACAAACAGCATCAGAAAACCTCCAAATCTAAATGAATACAGGATTATTTCTGCTTCATCATTCAACAGTGAAAACTATCGCTGTAAGGGCAGAATGAAAAGTTCACAGCATGAAACAACAGAGTGGAGTGATTCAGTCACACTGACAGTTTCTGACAGTAAGTCATATTTTCTTTAAGCTGTTTGAACACTTTGTAAAATGTGTTTCTGTTCATATAGACTGAGATTATTATTCTTTGTATAAACTGAGCTCACTGTTCAGAGACTGTACTACATGTTCACTGAGAGAAAATCTTTGTTGAACAGATGAACCCCGTCCTGTCCTCACTGTGTCTCCATCATGGCTGAGTCCTGGAGCCTCAGTAACTCTGAACTGTGAGGTTGAACATCTGTCTGCAGGATGGAGCTTCTACTGGTATAAAGCTGTTCCTGATCTATCAGAGGAATCCTCCAGTTATGAGCTGCTACCTGATGGCAGTGGGACTGCAAACAACTCCTACATCATTCATGGACAGACACACACAGCAGGATATGTGTGCAGAGCTGGAAGAGGAGACCCAGAGTATCACACTGATCACAGTCAACCAAAGTTTGTCTGGTCTGCAGGTCAGTTTGTTTCTCTCTGTCCTTTCAATGACCTCATGTTAGCTCATCATTTTTATTCAACAACATTTAGACCATTAAAATATCATCTCCATGACAACTATTGATGTCTGTGTACATACTGTTTGTACTGATTATTTTTACTTAGTGCACAGACAGGATTTACACAGTTAAGACTCTTTGTTTAGTGCTCAGGTAGGTGTTCAGATAAAAAAGTCAAATATAGTTAATAAAGAAACAAAGATGTCAGCAGGCAGGTTAACAGCTCTGACAAATACAAGAGAAACACTGACTACAGATGGACGCTAGAAGAAGACGTCACAAATAACAGCTGCTGTTATTGTTCATTTAAAATATACTTCAAAGGTTTTTAGTTTTGGTCCTGCTGCTGCAAAATATCTCACTGTAGAAGGAATCTGTGAAACAGACAATATCACAGAATTATGACAGAAACATTACAGCAAATGACTGAAGTGTGTTCAGAGTGATCTGTATCAGGTGGATGATGCTGAGAGTGATGACTCAAAGCTCATGATGTCACATGACGTGTACCAAGCTCTACATGAGCTGCCAGCAGATAAAGCATGTGGGTTAGATCATCTTAAACATGTCAGTATTCGGCTCCTTTGTTTTCCATTGATTTGACTGTCTGTGTGATTCAGGGCTTGTTGTCAGACTCAGTGTTGTCTCACCAAACAAACACTTTATCATTTTGAACTATTAAACTTGATTTTCAAAACAAAAGCTTCAAACAAACAAATATTTTCACTGTGATATTTTGAATCCTAACATCTGTGAGCTTTGTCTGTTCACTGCATGTCGTTTCCAGATGTTCATTCAGCAGCGTCTCTCACAGTGAGTCCTGACAGAGTGCAACACTTCACCTCTGACTCTGTCTCACTGACCTGTGAGGGAAACTTCACTGAGTGGAGAGTGATGACTGTTCCACAGAGCGATCCTTTATATTATTATAACTGTGAGAGAATGACTGGATCCACATGTAACATCCACACATCAAAGTCAGATACTGGAGTGTACTGGTGTGAGTCTGGATCAGGAGAGTTCAGCAGTGCAGTCAACATCACTGTACAGAGTATGTTATTATACATTTACTTCTTGGATCTGAATGATTTAGACGTCACATGAACATTTGTCTCAGCTTTGCTCTATGTGAAGTAATTCTATGTGGCAAAACAAAAAAAATTCTGACAATTTTAGACAGAAAAGCATCAAAATATTCTAATTTGTTGGTCTCATTTCATTCTATTTTTTCATAATTACGTTTGTAAAAATTTGCAGACAGTAATTTTATATGATCTGTGTCAGAATAAAACTCTACAAAGCTCAACATCTCGGTCATCAGATTAAATGAACTTTTATTGTCTCCATTCAGAAAAATTCAGGCAAACACGTGATGCAAAATAAGACAAACATACAAATGTTTACAATTTCAAGTATAACCATTAAATTATGTCACTGTTAATAATTTGACTCCTGCAGGGAGGATGAAGGGAGCATCCCAACTATATTTCCAGTCCTCTTAATCAAATTTTGAATTTGGGATCTGAGCTTGACAGAAAGTTTGCCAAAACATGTAGTGATATCACAAATAGCAGATTCAACAATCTCCACATAAAATAGTAACATGATGCAATTATACACTCCATGGACCCTCAGCCTTCTAACAAAAATGCAAGTGCTGACGACACGAAGTGTTGATGGTCCACATGATGAACCAACTGTAACTGAACATCTAAGCACTGAAATGTTGTCACTTGTTCAAACGTCTCTCCAGTCATTAAAACCAGGCTCTCAGAAAATCTCTCTGAAGCCAGGTCTGCATGTAGATCATGAGACACGACTCACAGCTTTTTCTCAAAGTGTGCACCAGCTGATGTGACTGAAACAATTGTGTGTGATTGTGTCACAGATGATGGTAATGGTCCTATCCTGGTGAGTCCTGTTCATCCTGTGACTGAGGGAGCTTCTGTTAGTCTGAGCTGCAGTTTGAGAACACAAAAAATACTTTCCAATGTGTTTTTCTATCACAATGACAAACTTATTCAAAATGATCCCCGAGGGGAGCTGAAGATCTCTGCAGTGTCAAAGTCTGATGAAGGTTTCTACAAGTGTCAGTACTCAGGAAGAGAGTCAGCACAGAGCTGGATGTCAGTTAAAGGTGAGCAGGATCAACACGTGATGGATTTTTATAAATGATTTTTAGCAAAAAGTTGTTTTCATATTTTCTCTTTTGTATTTAAACCACTAAAAATCTCAACAACTCTGTCATCAAAGTGTTATTCGTAAAGATAATCATGTAAAAAAGTGCAGTGGTGTCAAAGATCATGCTGTGTGTCAGATCTCCTCAGTGCAGATCTATTCTGCCCCACCTCTCCTCTTGCAGCTGTGCTGAAACCACACCTCGCTACTAGAGCAGTCACATATAAACATGAATATCATCATCTAATTTAGTCAGATGCTTGTTAAACATGTGCATTTCAGATTGTGGAGTGGAAACCTTTTCGGCTTTGCAGCAAATGGAATTTGAAATACTTTAAATGTTTGGTTGTTTTTTTCTTTACAGATTTGTTCAGTTTTTAAAAGCTAAAAATCGGTTGCGCATCAACATACTGTAATAAACATGTTCTCATCCTCTCTAAAGTGAACAAGCCATACCTTAACTCATCATCATCATCATCATCATCACAGTCCCGGTTAAAACTTCCACCATCACACTTTCTAAAGAGAACTCAGTCTCATATTTTTCTTCATTGTAATGAGGTTTGGTTGAGTGAAGTTTTTGTGTTCACATGTGACCTTTCTGGGTGGAGCACATTTACTGAGGAGACGTATGGCACTACTGTGACTACATTAATGTAGCATTTGTTGTGCTTCATTCACGTTACGTAAACAATAACCGAGACCTTAAGAGATTAACTTTTTATTTTGCAAATAGCAATTCAAAACAAGTACTATAGAAATTATTTGGTAAAAATAGGACATATACAGTAGATTTTAAATACAAGATCAGATCTTCATCATAAAAAGCATTTCTGTAATCCATCCTTGTTATTATGTCTCAGCTTTTTCTAACAGTGTGCACCAGCTGATGTGACTGAAACAATTGTGTGTGGTTGTTTCACAGATGGTGATGTTCCTATCCTGGTGAGTCCTGTTCATCCTGTGACTGAGGGAGCTTCTGTTAATCTGAGCTGCAGTTTGAGAACACAACAAATACTTTCCAATGTGTTTTTCTATCACAATGACAAACTTATTCAAAATGATACCCGAGTAGAGCTGAAGATCTCTGCAGTGTCAAAGTCTGATGAAGGTTTCTACAAGTGTCAGTACTCAGGAAGAGAGTCAGCACAGAGCTGGATGTCAGTTAAAGGTGAGCAGGATCAAAGCATTTGATGGATTTTAATGGATTTCATGCTTGAGAAGAAACATTAGATTGTCTGTTTAAAGGCTTGAAGTCACCTGGATCTATTTTGTCAGAACTTTTTGTAATATTTTGTAATATCTGTATATTGTCAGGTTTAATATTGTTGTGATTCAGGACTCAAGTGCAGGAAGTAATGAGTGAAAGTTTCTTCATCAAACAAAGGTTCATTCATTTAACGCAACATTTTGCAAGCTTCGACTTGGTCAACAAGAACAAAACATAAATGAACTTAAACTTAAGGAGTGAGTCCTACAAAACCATCTTAACTGAGGTGAGAGAGACAGGCCAGAGGAGCGGACATAACAGCGTGAGGGCGGCAGATCTGTGGGAGAGGAGAGAGCAGTTAGGGCAGGAATTCTGAGGGAATGTGACAAGACAGAGAGTGTTCATAAAGTGGCTGCACTACATAGAATAAATAAATACATAGAAAATGCAATAGTGTTCCCTTAAAAGCAAATACTGTCAACAGAGTGAGCTGCCTTAGCAGAGATTTGTGCTCTCAGAGTGTTTGTTTTATACTTTATTAATAATTAATTATTGTTTGTTGTTACAGTAACTGTGTCTGGAGCTGACAGCTCTTCATCTCCTGTGTGGTTGATGGTTGGACTGGTTTGTGGAGTCTCTCTCATTATTATTCTCCTGCTCTTGTTGTATCGCTGCAGACAGTCCAAGTGTAAGAGCCTCTTCTTTTCATGCTGTATTAGAGTTTATTTACTACATACACTTTAATTATTCACACATATACATGTATTCTGATCTCATGACACTAAATATCAGTGGAACAATTTATACATGACAAACATGTGTAATAACATTTGTCTCTTTCACAGATTCCTGCTTCACCAGGTTGGTAAAATACTTTTTATTATTATTTGAAACAAACATCAGTTACTTTTGAGTTTATTGTGTTTATTTCCTGTTTTAGGTCGATCCAGTCTGAGAGTCACAGTCCGGGCTCCTCCACAAATCATGGAGTCAACCAGAATGAAACTCATGAGTACGGCTATGTTCAATACGGTCAGCATTTTACCCATCTTTATTATCATCATTATTAATATTGACTTTTAAATCAGTCTTCATTAACAGGAACAGTTTTGAGGGTTAATTTTGTGCTCAGCAGCTTTTCAAAGAACGTTCGTCAAAATCCAGTGGAACAAACATCCAAACAGCCAGCTGACACATGAACATAAAATGAGAAATAAACAGGATTTTACAACCTGATTGTGTCTTTAAGTCGACTGAAAGAATCCACAATGTTGTTGTTTAATATCATAACAACACAAACAGTAACAACTTTATGGGTTGATGGTCCAAAAATATCTCATAGTCCTGGTTTTGACATGAACAGAAATATTTAATCTCTTTTTTATGTTTTTATTAAAATGATTAATGTGACCCTGGTTCGTCTTTTTTTAGGTACTAATCACATCTACGAATCAGTTTCTCATGTCGAAGACAACAGAAATGGTGCAGTATATGTGTTGAAAAGCACAGAGCAGTTACAGATGAAACTTGTTTTTGATTTAATGAAACTAATTCCATGTGACATGTTTACAATCCTGTAACTAAAATATGAACATTTCAGGATTAGATGAACATCAAGATGTCACATACGCTCTTATTAAATTTAAAACCTTTGGAAAGAAGAGTGAGTACATAAAACACATGCAGTTTAAAAATAATAACTGTAAATATAATGTAAAAATACAAAAAATAAAGATTAAAAAAAATTATTTTCTTGTGTCAAATAACCTGATCATCTTCACAGGGAAGCATCATGAACCAGAGCAGAGTGCTGTTTACTCTGAGGTGAAGACGGGAGCTGCAGGTACAGTCACAACAGTCTCATTCAGTGTTTGTACTGAAATGTGTCATTTCATTATGTTGCAGGTTATTATAGGTCAACATGGAGTTTAGTTATTCCCTTACCAAGCTTAGCTGCTACATATCAGCAGAGTTAATTTGCAGTCATTTAGGTTTTGGTGGGTTAGTCATTAAGTCAGGTGTATTTGTTTAACATGATACTGTGTTGTTGTTGTCATTCAAAGCACTCAAACACAGACACACTGGAGAAGTTGAACAGATTTATTGAGTGATTCAGAAACACAGCAGGTCAGAATGTTTGCAAAGAACGAAGAAAACTCAAAACAAACTTCTTCCACAGTTTGAGTTCAGTCTCTTCCTCAGATCACAGGTTAATGTCACCAACAGGTTTGTTGGGTTGCCTTTCATTAAAGTGTCTTGATGCATGCTCAATCATCCAGGCAAGTGAAGCCCAAAAAGTCACCAGGACGCTACAACACAGAGTAAACACCATCCCCACAGACACAGCGTCCAGGGAAGCAGAAAAACATTACATCAAGAAGGCCCTGAGTAAATGTGGTTATCCCAGCTAGACATTTGTCAAAGCTGGGAAGGCACCTAAAGAAAGCTCCAGCTGATCCAGGAGAGAAGGACAAGCGCTGCCTAAGTGAAAACCTGTAGTGATCCCATTTGTGTCAGGAGTATCGGAACAGCTGAGACGCATTTTCTCTAAACACTGCGTCTCTGTGGCTTTTAAACCCCAAAACACGCTGCGCCAAAAATTGGTATGTCCAGATGAACAGAATCAACTTTTTGGGGCTTTCATTAAAGTCTTTAATCAGGGAGGCAAAAAAGTCAGCTTTTCAGCTGGATTTACTGAATCACAGCATCCACTGATTCTGAACCAGAGCACTGATCACAAAACCAAACACAAACAAATAAAGCATATAATCTGAGTGCGGTGCACCACTAGAAGCACAGCAGAGCTTGAGCACAGCTGTTTAAGCTGGTTGTTTGATACAGGAAAGTATCGGATGTGCCAATAGCATGGAAAGTGTGTGTGGAATAAATGTAGGGCATATAAATATGAGTAAGTGATGAAAGTAGGGGATGATGCAACATCTGAAGAAAGCACAGTGGAGTTCACAGTCAAAAGTTTCAGTTGTCCAATCACTGTGAATTTATGAACTGAAATGATCATTTTTGTCCTTCACAAGACTTGGAAGACTTTATACTGTGTTACTGCTTCCTCATTTGGACTTTCAGGCACAGGATGGAGAGAAGTGCAACACTGACCGGGGCATTACCCCTCTCCTCACTTCCACACTATATCTGAAATCAGTGATAGCACTGAGTAGATTAGTTACATTAGGATAACAGTCAGGTGATTGAATTACATGATTATTACTAGTTGATTAAGATTTTTGTTTTGCCCCTGCTAATTTCTTTAAATAAAATATCCTGTGTTCAAAAGTCTAAATTGTTAACTTTTTGTGTAACAGTAAAGGAAACCTTGTGACGTATTACATCTCATACATAATTCTTACATGTTGCTCTTAGCACTTAAAGTAGTCTGTTCTTTTCTTGGCAGCTAAAGTAATAATCTAGTGAAACTACAAAGAGCGTGAATCATTAAGGGGAGCGTAGCATTAATGCTGTTAATGGCTGTGGCTGACAAATCAGGGTTGATCTGCAGAGTTTAAATCCACATGTGTCCAACAGCTCTGTGTCATATATCTGCTGATCAAATGCATCCTGAGCTCTGACTTCTCTTTTAGAGGACAGTCTCATGTATGCTGAGGTCAAACACCCCAAAAAAGGAAAAGCCAAGAAGAAAGCAGGTAAACAAAGTCTGCCATCACCTCCAGTGAATGTTGTTCAACATGTTTATCTGGTCTTAAAATCTTCTTTCCACTCACAGGAAAATCAAGTCCTGCAGCTGATGCAGCAGTTTATTCTGAAGTCACATTAGGAAGCTTTCCTGGTAATTATGCTGCCATGCAGGACGAGTTATTCTTCAAGTTATTAAATGGCGAACATCCTGAAACTTGGACATTTGTGTTCTTTGTGTGTTTGTCGTACAGGTCAGTGAGGAGAGCTGCAGCAGCAAAGCCAAAAAGAAGCATTTAATGAATCCACTGTTGCTCCTCTGCTGCCCAAATATCAGACACGCTCACTTTTTAGTGTTTATTAAGATGATATTGAATAATAATATGATATAGATTTGGTACTATCTTTTAGCATAAAGCACACAGAGGTGTGTCCTTGTTTCAGATCCATGCTCTTCATATTCACCTTTTATTCATTGTTGAGCTTTAATATCAAACTTTGAATGTATCCTGTTCCAACAGCAGTGAGAAAAAGTCTCTGATTTTTAGTAGCTGATAGCAGCAACTTAAAGTCAGCAGAGTTACATCAGGAAGTGCTGCTATGGACACAAACAAATACTTTTACTGTCTGAGTTTAAAGATCTGCATCACGTAAAAATGAATTATTTGGTATAAAAACATGAAAAAGCTGTTTTTCTTCCTTTTCTTTTTGCAGTATAAACATATTCTTTATGGTGACGAAGTGTGTGAATACCGCAGTGTGTGACGTCTCTTGGTGCAGCAAATTACATTTTCTGTTGAAAGTAAAAAAACCTGAAAACAGTCAGAGTCAGAGCTGAAAATGTGTGTTTTCAGTGTTTTGTTTCCTGCCTGAACGCAGAGGCGGTGTTCAGTGAGATATTTTGTTGATTTTACATCGCAGTGTGCCGCTCTCTTTTTGCTGATAGGAGTGAATGGAGCTCACTCACCAGTCTCGCTCTCTCGCTTTCTCTCATCATTAAAATAAGATATTTATATATCTGTATAATGTTTAAGTGGTTACACTTTGGACTGCAATGTTTAAGTGGTTGGAGAGTCTACATTAGTTTTCACAAGCCACAGCAAAAATAATAACAACACAGAGGGTATCACTTCCTTTTAAATATGTGCGTGTAATTAATTGAAGCAGTAGCATCATAAGCATTAATTCAGTGATTACAAGGCCCAGCCCAAAAGACTCTGGTTGGGAATACCTGCGCCTGGCAATACCTAAAAGCAGCAGGTACGCCACCTGCAGAAACTGGGTTGCTAAAACCTCGTTAAGTCGTGGTCACGTGATCTGGGTGTTTTGAACCAGGCTTCGGAGCAGTGTGTTGAAACATCTGCGCTAAGCAAGTTCAGCACAGTGTTGAAATGTCTGAACTTCTCATCCCTAGTGATATCGCTGGAATAATAATAGATAAATGTGGGAAGGGTTATCCGATAGTGGTCTTATCTCACACTGAAGTTTCACAAAAACAAGGGGAGCTCGTGGCTATGATGAAGAAAGTCCACTCAACACTCAACAAGCACAAAAAAAGGGATGGGAAGAAACTCCTCACACTGAGGTGAGTGATTATTGCTACTGTCACCAAATACAATACAAAACACAACTGCTGCCCGCAGCTATATGATCAGCACCATATGAACAGAGGTGCTAAGTTAGCGGTCACACCCACATGTGCGCGCACACATTTGAGTTAAAATCTGTTTCTAAGGTTGTTTTAGCACAGTGACGTCAAAGTTTAAGATAAATTTGAGAACTCAGGTTGAAGCAGGATTCACCCACTTTGTATTCTGTAACCTGCGCGCTACATGTACAGAAAAACATAAATCATTATTTAAAACAATTAGATCCTTCTCTCACCCTCCCTCATTGGCTGGGCTCGTTTCTGAGCTGTTAAGCAGGTAATTATTGAAATGAAATGACTGCATCTTTTTAAATTAGCGCACCGTTAGCACAACTTTCCAATTTCAGTTTTACAAATGCATCATCATGCTAATTTGGCCCCCAGCTTTAAGTACAAAACTGACACTTTGCCTCTTTGGTGAATGTGGAAAACAGATTTTTGATGCCTAAAGAGCTGCTTTGCACCCACTGTTAGTTAATCAGGAGATATCATGATGATAGTTTGATCATTCATTTATAACTTTTTATTGCATGAAATATGAAATGTTACTCTTTACCTGGTGTGTAAACACATCATGGGAACCCCCAGATTAGAACTAGACCTACTGCAGTGTGAGGGATTCAGGGTCCCCTAATCGAGTCCTTATTATAAACTTCCTCAAAAAGGAACATTTTAAGCCTAATCTTCAGTTTTGGCCACATTTCATTGACTCATTT